TGTTAGTATTATTTAAAGCTTAAATTAAAATTATCGATCAAGAATCAAGAACTTTAAATTATATTATTGTTATTTGGCCGGTCAACCGGTCAATATAACCGGTCGGTCGGTCAAAGGCCTCTGACCGACCGTTGACCGACCATGACCGACCGTTACCATCCCTAATATCAATCATCAATAATTTTCTCACCTTTTTTTTTTTAAAAAAAAAAAATTTATCTTAAATTAAAATCAAATCCAAAAGCAGCTCTTCCAAGAACGTCCAAGGTCAGTCTGTAATAATTAGTCAAAGTCTAACAAATTTTCATCCCAATCACGAAAAAAATAAATCAAATATGAATTTACCTATGCATAAGATCTTTGACTTCTATGATTTCATTATCAACTTTTTCAATGACTTTTAGTAATTTCACAACCGTTTCATCAATTATTGCTAGATTCGTTCTATTGAAGATAAATGTTTGTGCGATAGAATACTGATGACGTCTCCAAAACTATAAATCAAAAAAGACAGTCGAATGTCAACCAAAGATTAATATCATTCAGAAAAAATTAAAAATATATTACATCATCAACGTTGGAAATGGCTACATTAGTACTGTAGAAATAATCTAACCTGTTTTCGAAAATACATCTTTTGTAAGTTCCAAATCGGTTGTAATGATAAATGATAAACCATTCTCCATTGAACCAAATCTACCATTATTATTATTATTTTTTAGAAAATTTTCTTTTGAAAAATAATAAAAGGTCGAAAATATGATAAGATTAATTACTTTTCCAATTCCTTCTTTCTCGAGAACTTTACGCATAAATTCCCAACGATTGTCAGGACCCTTATTAGACAAAATAGCTAAAGCCAATCTCACGAAACTTAATGTTGGTACATTTTTAAGTCCTTCGGGTACTCTGAATTTTTGATAAACTTTATAAGCTATAAAATTTATAAACACCACCAAAATGATTGTAAACAACATTTTATTTGAAATATCTCAGTTTCAATGGGAAACAAGAGAAACGAGAAATTGTAAAATACAAACCAAAAGAAAGACTACGTAAATTTTTGTTACACAAATACGGAATATCTATCAATATACTACAACAGGATAGATCTTGGAGAGAATAAGAGAACGTAATTCCCAATGCTATTCTAAAACAGGAATGAATTTCGAGGGCTAAAACTAAATAACCAAATTCATCGATAGCGATAGTATTTAACTAGGAAGAAAATATGACAAAAAGCATAAATAGCTGAGCAAAAAAGAAATCAAAGTCAAATAAAGGAGGATATTTTCAATTTCATAGATAAAATGTTGGGCTTGACTTTTCTTTTTTAAAAAAAAAATAAAAGCAAATGGACAACTTGGGCAACTCAAATAAAACCTTGAAAGGCCTGGAAGAGAGAATTAAGGATTTAGAACAAAGCAATAAGAAAGTCGAAGATATAAATCAATTGCTACTCTCTTTTTTATTGAATGAATTAGATAGTAATTATTTAGATAAGTTATTAGCAGAACAGAAACTTACTTTCTCGAGACTAGAGAGACGATCCGTGTTCATAATTCAAAGAGCGGATTATTCCAATATGCTGGTTTCTTTCGGGATTTCAGAATTCCGGAGGGCTTTGGAAACCTACAAAAGAGGTAAGTAAAAGGATTAATTTTTTTAATTTAATTATTTAAAAAGAAAAATAAATTACTAAACTTCGATTTATTAATATTTAATACAAGATTTCGGAGTGGACTTTCTACAGGTGAATTATAAATCTTTCATTAGTTTAAGAACTAGGTAATAAATACTTCGTTCAATAATTTTACTATTCGTTTCGTCGTGAGGTGAGGAAATAGTTGTAAACAATATATCGTGCCTCATTATAATCAATAATTATTGATACCAATTTCTTTGAGTGAAATAAAATTCTGTAATTGCAGGGATTACAATATCTCAAATTAGAGCCCCAAATTAATAATAACTAAACATTTAGCAGTTAATCGTGAATAATTTCAAGTATAGTTAATCGTCTACTCATTTTGTAGTAACCACAATCTGAAAGTAATACCTTTGATTTTGCAACATGATCTCAGTATCTGATACATAAATATAATAAATAAGTTAAATATTCATTATAACAAATGCATTAAATAATATAACAATTTAATTTTAGTCAACAGACAAAAATAAATGATTAAATATTTTGGAAAAAATCCTCTTTTTTATTTTTTTTTTTTACTGATGAAAAAAATTAATTTTATTTTAATAATTTCGATTTTTTTTATTAAATTAGTAAATTCTTTACACTGAAAATCATTCTCTTTTATAAACAATGTAATCAATATACACTTTTTTGTCAAATCACACCATTTATTTATAAATAGATCTTTATATATCCCAGTACGCTGTAACGAAAATCAAGGAATTGTTAAGTCCGCCGGATATTTGGCATTGTCAAATATCGCTATAAAATTGGCTAAAGACCAATTTTCTAACGTAATGTAATCTTATGTCACCGTGAATTGTATGTAAGATTAATCGAATACCATATATCACCAATTTTAATTTGTAATTAAATCAATGAAAATCACCAAGACAAAATTATGTAAATTTTTAGATGTTTCTGAGATTTTTAATTTTAATACAGTAATATAAAGCTCCGCGTAAGCCGAGATGACTCGCGAGCTTCCAAGTCGGAACATGTTTTAAATGATCGTAAAAGTAAAAAAAAAATGTTAGTTTTTCCTAGTGCTCCGAACCGGTCGGGTCGACCCGGGTTATTGAACAGAGTTAAGTTTTCGAGTCGGGTTGGGGTCGTAATTTTGATTACACGACCCGGACCTGACAAAATCGTCAAGCTCTTCCAATCAAAATATCATATCTCCGGTTAATCCGAAATTCCATGGTGTTTGCAATTGTTAAAAAGAAAAGAGAGCTCTTCTCAGGGTTTTCACTAACGTTACCGTATTAATTATCCACGTCCCAGGTGATCGTATGATCTAATTTGTAATACACAAGAATTTAAATTATGAACTTTTGACAAATAAGGTATAATTCATCGAGAAGTAAAGTTATAAGTATTTTTAAAAGAAGTTACTAATATATATCTTTTTTAAAAAATAATTATTTAGAAATAAAACTTGATTTTATAATATTGGTGATGAATATTATGCCAGCAAAGCGAGTTTTTTTTATGGTGGAGCTTATCTATAAGCATATACAATTCGTGCTTATATAGGTAGTAAAGATTATTTTTCGATGCATTAACTAGCAAATGAATTAATACTATAAAATAAATAATTTAGAAAAAGCACCCGGTAGAATATTCATATTGAAATTCGTTTCTTGGAATTAACATTATCCGTAAAACTAGGTTTGTTCCGAGTTTAACTATATTCGGGCCGAGTTGGATTCGGGTTATGTAAATGCTGACCCGAATATTTTTAACTGTTCATATGCAATCTCGGGTCGGGTTCAGGTTTCTCTGAACCCGACCCCTTAGGAGTACTAGTTTTTCCTCACCTATTTTATTGTATTTTAATTTTTTTAAATAAAACTTTCCATGCGATTTGAACAGGTCAAAATCGCCTAAATAGAAAGCCAGTCTTGTGTTTACGAATTGAATCAATGGATTTACGACATTTCAAGTAAATGTATTGATAGACAACATGACATGACAATATCACGTGAGATTTTCTCATAGTATAACAATGCCTTGGGTATAGTTGGTGTTTGTATAGTTATATGTGATATTATATCCCTTCTGCCAAGAATTTTCTTAAAACAATATTTTCAGTTAGCGCGATGCGAAGTACATATAGAAATGTCACACATGTATAATCACGTGAATTACAGAGGAGAGGGCATAGGAAAATTAAAAAAAAAAATCTCTGATAAGCTTGCTTCACCTTACACAAAAGGAAACTATTCTTACGATTACTTTTATGGCATAGTACTACAATAAAAGAATATAGTTAAAAATATTTCGACAAAAATTTTCTTAATGATATTAAACATTATAAGATATTGAACGAAAATAACATTACTTTAAAACAATACCTAAGGAAATTATCCGAAAATATTGTTTTGAATTCCCAATAGACATTTTTGACTTCCCAAAATCCTATTTTCGGGAAGCAATTGTTTATATAAATAGGTGAAATTAGACAACTATATAAAGATTTTCAATGTTTATAGTTATTGTGTTACTAATTGTTCACACTAACACAATCAGAAACAAACCAGATTTTAATTTAAAAATTGTGATACGGTTCAGAAAAACCCAAAAATAGATTGAATGTAACAAAAAAAAAAAGGAAAAAAAGAGAAAAAAGAGATTTAGTTTCAGAAGAACGGATCTTTTTCGGTCTTAAACCACCCCGGTAGCGCATTGTTTCTTATTGAATCTTATACTAGGACACAATTCTAAGCCGTATATTTAACGTTATTCTAATTAGAAAAAAAAAAAAATTATAAAAGGGTGCATGAAGTTATGAGGGGAATAATAAAATTTATTTTATTTAATTTTTCCGAAAAAAAGTAATAATAAATAACCATGTGGATCTTTATAGTTTTTTCTATCATCTTCGCTTATATGGTTCAAAAGTACTTTTCTAATAAAAATCAAGCTAAAATCTTTGGCAAAGAGGTTCCAAAAGTTCCTTTTATTCCCGTGTTATGGTCGATTCTAACCGGACCACATGTTGAAGTCTTAGAAAATATACCCGAAGAATATTATCAATCAGGAATTTACAAGGTATTTAATATTTTTTTTTTTAATAAAAAAAAATTTGAATATTTCTTGTTACCATAAATCTTCACATCGTCAATGTAGGCTCGTTTGGGACCAAACGATTATTATACCATCGTAAGTGCCGATTTTGCTAGAAAAATTTTAACCGAACAAGGTGAGAATTTGTGGAACTTAACAAAAAAAAAAAAAAAAAAAATCATGTTATTTATTATGATATTTATTTTAACATTTTAATAGAAGATAAATTCCCCAAATATAAATTCAATAACGAACTACCAGTACACAAGTTTTATGGAAACGGGATCGTTTTCGCCAATGGTGACGTAAGTGTTTCGTGCCGTATCAATCGCTATGATTTTTTATTAATAAATATCGAAAAAACTTATCATGAACTTAAATTAAATAGGAATGGCGTGTCCATAGAAAATTATCGAACCCAGCATTTAATCGTTCATTGTCACCTAATATCATGGGTCAAGTTGTTTTGGACACGTTTAAATATATGAGCAGCGAAATTCATGAGCCAATCAACATTTACGAAATGTTGCAACATATAACCATTGAAGTATTAGGACAGGTTGCTTTTGGATATTCGTTCGGAGTAAGTAACCTTATTAAATACTTTGTTAATTCAGTAAATCAACAAAACCTTTCTTGATAATTTTTTTTTCTTTTTTAAGACCTTAAAATCTAAAGAATTGCCAGATATAGTTCGTAAATATAAAATTATCCTAAATCAAGTCGAATCATATCCGTTATATGTACTTCCTTTTCTAAATAAATTACCAACAAAAAGAAATCGCATTTTTCAAGAAGCAGTAAAAGACTTTGATGAATTTATATATGAGATCATTGAGCTTAAAAGACTTGAATTAGCTAAACGCAAAGAATCAAATGAAGGGAATACGTCAGATAATGAAGAATTATTGATCAGTATGCTGGAGGCAAGCGAACAAGAAGATATTAATATTGGAAAGAAAGATTTAAGAGATAACATGACAAATTTCTTTAGTGCCGGGAATGACAGTAAGTAAAAATTATTAAATTTTAAAGTATAACCTTGGTCCGTTAAAAATTTTCCATTATTTATGTAGCCACTTCGATGTCCATAAGTTCTTCGATTTATTATCTTGCAAGATATCCGGTAAGAGTTATTATTATGATCAAACACGTTCATTTACACTTTTATTAAAAGCAATTTTTCTTAAATAGGAAATGCAGAAGGAAGCAAGAAATGAAGTGTTAAGTGTAATGGGCAATGAAGTCAAAATACCAACAGTAGATCAATTGAAGGTAATTAAAATAATTCACAAAGAACTTTCGCTATGAATACGCTATGAATACAATGCTTTCAGTCGTTAACCCTTATGAATAAGTAGGAATTGAAATATGTAAATGCTATTGTAAAAGAAAGTTTGCGACGATTCCCTGCTCCAATGACATATCGACAACTCCAAGAACCTACGAAATTTGGGGAATTTTTACTTCCAGAGAAATCTATAATAAGAGTTTCAAATTACGGCATACATCATGATCCAAAATATTGGAAAAATGCTCATAAGTTCGATCCTGAAAGATGGTTATCAAAAGAAAAAATAGAAAATAGACATCCATTTTCTTATATTCCGTTTAGTGCTGGTCCTAGAAATTGGTAAGATTATATGAATTATCGTGTTAAATATCACAATTACACGTCAATATTTATAACATACCTACTTTTAATCATATAGCGTTGGACAAAACTTTAGTATCATGGAACAAAGAGTGATTCTTGCAATGTTTTGTAAGTATATATTATGATCGCTAAAAATAGTTCGATTTGATTTATTTATTAATTTTTGATTTTTATAGTAATCAAGTACGAATGGAGTTTGCCCCAAAATTCTATACATAAGGAAGATTTGATTTTAAGTAATGCATTTTTGTTTAGACCTAAAAATCTCGAAATTAATTTTCAAGTAAGGTAGAAAATTCGTTAAAAAATTATATACAGTATATTTATTAGTTTAAATTAAGATATTGATGTGTTAGAATCTATTGTATAATATTAAAGTTAAGGGAATATGAATCCATGTAACACTACCTTCTTTTTTTTTTATCAATTTTATCATGCATATTTTTTTTCACATAAAGTCAAATTTATATACAAATTTAATATAATGGCTACGAAAATCGAAGTTAGAACGTACAAATATCTATCTTTTTTTTAACATCAGGTAATATTTTAGTAAAGCCCTATTTGTAATATAAATCCGAAAAAAAAAATTACTTAATCACAAATATCAATCTAATAAATCATAGAACGACACCCAAATACTCGAAATAGTTTAATCATTTCAGCCCATTGTACATAAATGTGTATGGGGTCATTGAACAAAAAACAAGATTCTGGCTTGTTTAAAAACTTTTAGTGGTACATAAAGGGAGAATGGTACCGTATCACATGTAGCATTTTAAAAATAATAAAAAGGGGAAATCTAAATTTCGGTTCATTCAAAAGAAAAAAAGTTAATTGGCGCGCGTGAAACTCGTTTATCGTAACACAAGTAGCGTATGATTGTTGATCGACCAAATATGGGGATCTGAAGTGAGCACAAAATTAACACTACATTGTTTGTTGTCACAAAATTTTGTGATAAGAAATAGTACGATGGAAGAATATCTTGAAAGTGACGAGTGTAATTCATTTAAATTATTTATAATCTTTAGACCTTAAATAAATAAATAATATAAAAAAATCGTAAATTTTGATGCCGCGGGGCACCGACCAACATGAAAGCCCGTTTTGTGCTCTTCATATTTTCCTACAAATATATTTTCTGTATTCGCCATTTAACTATTTTAGGATCCACTTTGGTTGATATTAGAAATTGGTCGAATAAAAATTAAATAAATCAGCATTACGTTTTGAAAAAAAAAAATTGCTAATTTTATTTACTGTATGTAAATATATTATTAACATAAAAAGCTTGTATACATATTGCTTTAACCTGATATGTACAGTAGAAGTTTATTATTTCACTTTTTTGCTATTCATATCGAACTGAAATATTCTCCTAACCTAAATTTGGTTAGATCAATAATAAATTCTCATTCAGGCCGCAGCGATCGATTACACCATTGTTAGTCTTGTTATGACGCACGATACTGCGCCAAACATAGTTGACGAGGTGATCCTGACAATCACGAATTTTAACTTTATATAATTATTATAATTTCTTAGTGATCTATAATTTCTTACATTTCTTATATAAATTTAATTTCTTTATTTTATTATATTTCTTTACTTTATTAAATATCTATTTATATTGATGTATTTTATATAAATATCCTGTATCTTTGCCTTGATAAATGGCAGAGTCATTACAAGTCTCTAATAAATCAATAACATTTATCTCTAAAACTTATTTTGTTCATTTATAATTTATTCTTCTTTAAAATCTATATTTATTAAGATGACCTGATCCCTCAATATAATTAATTCATGTTTATTTCTTTTATAGTTTAGATATAATTAAACCTTTTATTAGTAAATACGTTCTATTAACTCAACTACATACTATTTAGACTAAACATCATTTTTTTGATTGATACTTTTTCTTTTTCTTTAAATCCTTTTCATCAGGATGCTTCCACAGTATTAGTTAAAGCTTTTTCTTTATATTTATTTTTATTTATTTTTATGCTCCTTTTGATCGCAAAGTTTGAATATTTTATTAATATTTTAATATTTGCATCACATTGGTCTTTTCTTACTTTAGGTTCCTTTTTCAGATTTAATTGCTTAGGTAAGATGAATTATTTTTATTAGATATATTTTATTTTATCTTGATTTTTTGTGTAAATATGAAAGTTCAAATTAATTGATTATTAATATATTTAAGATCCAGATATATTAACTCAATATAAGTGTAATCTAAATTTGAATATATATCAGTTTCAAGATTTTGCTATAAATAAATACCAAACATTTAGTAACTTATTTTTCTTCACTTCATTAGCATACCTTTTTACCATTTCTCTTGCAATTTTCTCTGCTTTTATCAGATTAGTAATTTTCTTTTCTTAATAATATATTGCAATTTACAGGTCATACATTTGTTATAATCATATATTTGTATTTATATTTGATAAGAATCTGTATTAAATTAGCTCAAATTTGTTATCTTTCTAATGTTATCATTGGAAAAAATCATCTTATATGCTTAAACAGCATCATAACTTTTGATTTTCAGTAAGAAACTACTAAACATCATTAAATTTACGTGAAAAATTCATTTTAAATCTAATTTGCTCTTCTCAACTATAATTGCGTTAGGATAGTTTATAACTTTATAATTTTTTGTGTTTACATATTTTGATTTTAAATTTTTATTTATTTGCTCTTATTATGCTTATTATATTTATATAAATGATTTGCTATTACATATTAAATTATATGATTCGTAATATAATTTTAATAGCAAACCACCTATTTATCTCATTATATTATTTTTAAATTATTAGCTACAAGATTTACATTATTAAAAAATTGTTAAAAGTTGATCTTTAAATTTATAGTTGACTTATTTGACAAATATGACAGATTGGTCATATTTGACTGATAATCAATATTTAACATATTAATTATATTTGTTATATTTGTTAAATTTATTTCATTTATTATATTTATCATATTGGTTATATTTATTATATTAGATATATTTATCATATTATATTACTATTAGTTTATTTTATATAAATAGCATGTATTTTCACTTGAGTTGAAAGATAACTCAAGATAGAGTTTTATGAATAAACCAAGAATTCAATAAAGATATTTGTTATTTATTTACTATTACCTTTTGCTATATCTTCATACAGGCATGATTGTGATAAAATTATTATAATTAATTCGAAAGACTGAATTATATTGTCTAAGTTTTATTTTTAGCCTTCTAGCTAACAAAGTGGTGATTCTTACCAGGCTCTTTAGCTTTATAGTAAATGAATTTAAGTAGAAATATCACAAGAAAATTTAAAAATATTCAAACACCCTTTAATTAAAATAAATTTTTATTAAAATGAATGATATATATTATTAAAGTAAAAGTTTTTGATCAAATATTCAATATATTTATTGATAAAACTAAGGATAAAAGTTGGATTCCAAGTAGAGCAAATATGGGGTTTCTGAGACAGATTTCAAAAGATATCCAAAAAAAGATTCCTGACCGCCTGCAAACACATTTTAGCTATATAAATCAATTATCAAATTCAAACTTCTAACGCATTTTGACTCAATTCTAGATGATGTTATCGAACTTGACTAGGAATTA